GGGTGGTAGAAAAATGGGATAAGGAAGGTACCTCCTGTAGGTAGGTATAGGATACTAGAGGCCCTGTGCATGGATTCATGCACCAGTGGGGTCCCTCAGCTTGACCTGCAGGGATCGGGCTGAAACCGGCTCTCCAACATCCCCTCAGGGGTCCCGGATTGCAAGAGGGTGCAGGCCAGGCCAAGGGACCACACCAGTGCATGATCAGGCCGAGGAGGGTTACACGAGAGGGTTCCAGGGCGTGCCCAGCCCATCTTGCCCAGTCCTGATTGGCCGGACCCCAGCAGCAAGCTAACCTACCTCTCAGAGCGTCTGCCCCCTGATGGTCAGTGCACATCATAATGACTGGTCGGATACTTAGCATACTAGGCTTTTATCATATAGGATTCGCAGTGTTTTAGTTCTTGTTTTGTGAGGCAGGTTCACAGGTGTTATTCATAAACATACTCATAAATAAGCCATATATGGTCATACAATGAGAAGATAGTGAACCAAATGTTGTGGTGAATCCGGTTTTGTCAGCTGAGTTCCCTGACCTCACAAAAATACATGCATAAAAGATGGTGTGTTTTATATCACAGTATCATAGTAAAAAATCAGCTTCATTTCCACCATCTCCCGGAGGAAGACTTCCCCAGTGACATGTTCCCTTCAGAAAGGGTTAACCAAGCTCTTCCAAGTTATCCCTGTACCATTTACGTAGTTCCCGCCTGCACCCATCTCACAGGACTGTAGGTAAGGCTCCCATAAGCATCATTCCTACTGGCCTCAGGGTTTATTGGCAGGAAAGGAATTGGTCTCAACTTTACATCCCCTTTGCCTACCATATTAAGTACTTAATAAGTGTTTGTTGAATGAATAGAGAGGTAAAGGAGTAAATAACACATAATGAGACATATTACATTAAATGTATGTATAAAGTTCAGAGGATGGAAATAGAAAACGACTGGCTGCTCCCATTCTGATAGGACCTCTGTTCTCGCAAATGCCTGGAAAGAATTAAGGCAGTCAAATGCCAGGTCTGTCTGGAGCTTGATGACAGCAGACACAGAGAAGGTCCTTTGACCTGTCTATCCACTCCACAGATCTGAGCGATGCCTGATATTTAAAAGGAGATCTATTGTTTGCTCTGTAAGTAAAGTCCCAAAGCTTAAATAAAGGTAACACCAATTTGAATGAGTTTCAGTGTCAGCAAATACGTTACCAGTCCTTTTCTAAAATAGACATCTACGATGACGAGGTAAAGGAAGTTAGGGCAGTAGGAGAGTAGGAATCAGGTGGGGAGCCTGCAGAATTGTAGATAAACTTCTAACCTCACATTTAAAGACAGCTGAGGTCTCAAGTCACGGTGGTGCAGGGAACTGTACCTGACTTCTCACCTTCAGAATAGTCACTCACTCTGTGTTTATTTACAAGATGTACCTAGTGATCATTGTTATTTTTTTAAATGAAATTATTTGTTCTTTAGGAGTTTGCAGATACTTCTGGATGATGAAAGTGCTGACTTTGAAGAAGTATTTTATGTCCATTTTAATGTGAGTAACAGTGAAAACCAGATTACAGATCAGATTTAATCTGATTAACCCTTTACATACATGCCTAAACATGCACCCTTTAATGAAAAAACAAACTTCTGAATTAAGTTAATGTAAAAGGTTATTCCCTGCATTTTTTTATGAGCTGGATGTGTCGGTTGGATTTGACTGTGTAACAGACAACACCTAAACTTAGTGACAGAAAACAGCAGATAATTCTGTGGTTTCTGGACTGGGCCAGCGTGGCTGAGCTGGATGGCCGACAGTGGCCTCGCACCATAGCTGGTCGTTGGCAGGCTGGCCCTTGGCAGGTGTCAGCTGGAACAGCTTGTCTCTGTTCTGTCTGTTCTCACCCAGGAGGCCAGCGGAGGCTTCTTCACTGGATGGGCTCGGGGTCCAGAGATGGCAAGCCCCACACACAAGCTTCTTTTCATGCTTTTGCTTCTGTCAGATCCATTGGCCAGACTATTTCACAAGGTTACCTCCAGATTCAAGGGCTAAAGAAAGAGACTCCCCCTCTTTTTTAAATTTAATTGTTGGTGTTTTGTTTTCTTTAATGTATTTTTACTGATTTCAGAGAGGAAGGGAGAGGGAGAGAGAGAAACATCAATGATGAGAGAGAATCATTGATTGCCTGCCTCCTGCACACCCCATACTGGGGATCGAGCCCATAATCTGGGCATGTGCCCTGACTGGGAATGGAATCATAACCTCCTGGTTCATAGGTCAGCGCTCAACCACTGAGCCATGCCAGTCAGGCCAGACTCCCCCTTCTTGGTGGGAGGTGTTGTGGAGTCATATTGCAAAGGGACAGGAATACCAGGATAGGAGGAATTTTTGGCTAATTTTCCAAGTCCACCACACCAGGTCTGTCCTGAGAAAAGTGAATACTGAAATATGGCAATTTCCCTATTTACCTTTTTTTTTGTATTTGCATTTGCTCTTTATTATCATCCTAAATAAAAAATAATTATTAACATGAGTTTACCTGCTGGGGTCCGGCCCCAGCAGGCCCAGAGGTCCCAAAAGGTGGGGACGGAGTCGGCGAAGAAGAAATGACACGGAGACAGCGTTCAGTTGATCAGTAGCCTTGCCAGGATCTCTAGCCACAATCTCTAGCCAAGTTCTGTGTCCATGTTTTCTTGCTGGGTTCTCGAGCCACGTTCTCCAGGTTCTCCAGACAGGTTCTGTAGCCATGTTCTCTCGCTAGGTTCTCCAGCCAGGTTCGGTCGCCAGGTTCGGTAGCCGGGTTCTCTTGCCAATTTCTGTAGTCAGGTTCAGTCCAGGATCTTTTGCCATACTGAGTCCAAAGAAAGAAGACTCTGTATTGATCTTTAGATTAAGAAGATGTGCCATACTGAGTCTAAAGAAAAAAAGACTCCGTATTGATCTTTTAACACATATGCTTGCTAGCAGAGGAATTAAGGTTACGCCCAGTCAGACAGAATGTTTTATACAAGAAGTATGTCCATGCTTTTCTGAGGAAGGAAAGGCAAAGGTAATGGCATGGGAGAAGGTAGGCCCAAGGAGCCTTATCCTTAACCCCACTGCAGCCTTTCCACCCTGGGAAAGTGCAGGAGTGGCAAGCTCTCCCTGGGATGATAGATCAGGACTCAGGTAATAGCGAAAAGCGCCAATCCTACTCTTAAAATGGATACAAGAGAGCATTTGGGATTTTTCTTTTTAATGCCTGCTTTTAAAAAATAAAAAAGGGGGAATTTGCCGGGAGCCGGTCCAAGGTCACCTCTCTGAGAAAGGTTGTTTCCCCAGGTGGAGATTTTCCCCTGAAGTTAGGGAGGGAATAAAATCGCTTCACTAAGTGCCAGGTGGGTAATTAATCTCTTTATGAATAATCATGCTTAAGTACATAATCTTTACTCCCTGGAATGGAGATAAGAAACGCCCTAACCTTTGGAATAGAGATTGATAGGATTAGAGTCAACTGGTATAAATACAGATGTAACAAGACAACAGGACTCAGAACTTAGATGAGGATCCGAGAGACAGAACTTAGAGACAGAACTTAGCGACAGACCTTAGAAGGCAGACCTCAGAAGGCAGACCTCAGCAGGCAGACCTCAGAAGACAGACCTCAGAAGGCAGACCTCAGAAGACAGACCTTAGAAGACAGAACTTAGACAGAACTTAGATGAGGATCCGAGAGACAGAACTTAGACAGAACTTAGAGGAGGATCCGAGAGACAGAACTTAGAGACAGAACTTGGAGGACAGAGCCTGCGCAGAGCCTGGAGACGGAGGAGCTTCGCTGGAAAGAACATGGCGGGGGATCCTGGTCAGAACCTGGCTGCGGAGCCTGGCTGGA